TAGGGAAATTACTTCCTTGTTCACTGCCTAATTTTTTCTGTCAATAAAATGGGAAGAATGATAGTACCTGTGCTATGTATTTTGAGATGATGTAGCAAAGACCTGAAGAAATTGCAGCAGATGTGAATGCTGTGGCTCTGACAGGGAGTATGTTAGCACAAAGTTAAAATGGAAGTTTGCTGAAAACCCAGTAAAGTTAGCAGATGTTGACAGAGATAATTTTTAAAAGCTAGTTGTGTTTGCATAATTATGTGCATATGTGCACACATGCAAAAACACATAACATGAGTATATAAACGAATGAGTTGTTTTACCTGTTTCAGGCATTTTTGAAGCTTCAGCATGTTATGCCTCAGCAGACTAACAGTCTTCACTTGCACTCTGAACGTGAAGTAATAGATTTGAGTCTCTGCATGTTTAAGACCTCCTTAGAGTTTGGAGAACTTGGAAAACTCATTTGTAGTGTTTAATATCACTTGAACAGGTTCTTCTGTTGAGTTTTGGTTTCTGCAGAAGCAGAGAGTGATCAGATTGGGCAGATGAGCATCCACCCAGTGTGATACAGAACTGAACTAACATGCGTATCTTCTGAGTCATTGCTTGGCACTCAATCCTTTTTGTTAGCCAGCATAAGACTCCTATATATCAGATTGCATCACAGACTTGCGCAAAATTTTGTTCTTTCTCTGTTAATTTCATTTGTTATTACTTACTTTTTAGGCACTGGTATCATGCACAAACCAACCAGACTAGGACCATGTTGTGGTAGACAATGTAAAATACAGTAAATGGTAGCATCTGCCTCTAAGAGCTTTACCCTAAAAAACCTTCCAAAACCCAAGATCCTTAAAGCGTGCTGCATTTACATAAATGCCTCTGATATCAGGCAGAAATTTTTAAATGTCCTGTGTTGGTCTGATTATTGTGTAATTTACTACACAAATACATACTTCTATTCAATCAGAAATTTACTATGTGATTATTGTATGCATTTAGTTTCCTTTAGAGCAAACCAAAAAGATTAGATTAGCATAAACCAGTTCCAGCAAAAGCTTGAGTGAGAATGCAAGATTGTAAAAGACCTTTATGCATCCAAAACAGTAAGAAGTTTGATAGGCATTTATCTTCAGAGAAGGGTTGTTTGGAGAGTTGACCACTAGAGTGGTCTTCATCCCATATTGCAACTTTATAACTTCTAAAGCATTGAAAGTTCCAGTCAGCCATGTTACTAAAAAAAAAAAACAACCCAAACCAAAAACAAACAAAAAAAAACCCCAACCAAAACTGTTGTGACTTTTTTTTTTAATGTAATGCTACTGCTTTAACATAACTTTTCCTCAAGTTTGCTCCTGATAATAATTACATTTTTTGTGAAGATATTTGTGATGACAGTCATAAAAGCATCATAATTGCTGCAATTCATTATGGAGCATGGAATAGAGGGTACTGTAGCTGACAACTTTGTCTTAAAAAAGGCAAATTACAGATTTCTCTCCCAGGAGACAGGTAAAGCATACCTGGAGAAACCAAAAGGGAGAGAAATTCAGTTAGTACTGTGAGAGAGCTGTAACTAGAAAAATACGTCCACAAAACATTTGGTTCTGAGTCAATTCACTTATCTGCTGATTGCATGCAATTGCAGCTCTCTTCACTTCTCCATATGCAGTGACTCATGAATACGTTCTTGGAATTCTGCTAAAAAAAATCTGAAGTGTAATGATCTTAAAACAGGGAGGTCATCTATTTGAGAGAAGATCATTTTGTGTTGTTAACTCCCAGTTAATGTTTGGCATTGTTCTAGAAGTAAACTATACTGGGTAAGGGTCAATGTTACACAACTGAATCTCATGTATACGCACAGTTTAGGCTACATATGTTTTGTTCACACCAGTGCAGGTCATCGTAGTGTGATTATTGTGGCTATCTGAAGAATAGGAGAAAAACCACTTAGTACTCTAGCTGTTGGGATTTCATACACAGTGCATACATTTAACATTTTTTTTAAATGTGTTGTACTGACAAGCATCACATAGATTCATTGGGACATCCCCAGATTGTTTCTATAGTATATATACTATAGGAAGCTTTATAAGTTTTATAGGAAATGCAAGGTTCAATTAATTTGAATAAGTCTCTTTAGGTGCACAAAGGGATGTAGAAGTTTAGCAGAGACAAGCCCAAGCAATATGCATGTTAGTTTTGGGATGCAGTAAATTTTTTTGGTAGAACATTACTGTGCTGCTACTTATCTAATGTGCACATGTAACTTCAAGGGGAAGAAAGAATTACGTGGAGTAAAGAGGGAAACTGTATTAATTTTGACAGTTTAAAAAAACCCTAAAACTTAGGCTGTGTATTACTATAAATAATTTGAAAAAGAGTATGTTTTTGCTGATGCATTTTGTAGTTTAACGCTAACACTGAAAGACTTTTGTGCTTTGTGTGCAGGTATATGTCTCGAGTCCATGGTATGCATCCAAAAGAAACCACACGTCAGCTGAGTTTAGCAGTCAAGGATGGTCTTATTGTTGAAACCCTGACAGTGGGGTGTAAAGGGTCAAAAGCTGGTATTGAACAAGAAGGATATTGGTTGCCAGGAGATGAGATTGTGAGTATAAAGTCTTTGAGAAAACAAATCACAGTTTCTGGTATTTTTGCATGAAAACTTGTTTTAATTTCTGTTTTAAGTTATTTATAGATGCTGTGTTGGTACTTGTGAACAGGGAAGTAATGAACTCCTAAACTTTTTTAACTTTTTGTGTTCCATAGAAGCTCTTTCTTCGTGAATTCTGAGTTTTTTGCTATGAAAGATTGACAAAGTCCTTTGCTCAGTAATCCCTCACTTTTATGTAGTATTCTCTTCTACAGATGTACAGGACGACAGTAAATATTGGTATTACTTGAAATCCTCAGACTCAAAAAACCCCAAAGATGGTATCTTTTAAAACACAAAAAAAACAAAAAAACCCCAAAACAAAAACAAACAAACAAAAAAAACCAAAATAAAAAACACAAAAACAAAACAAAACAAAACAAAAAACCAACCAGAAGACAGGCATTTTTGATTACTCATGCTTTAATCTGTATCTGAGAAACAAAGAACTCCTCCCTTTCAAAAGTGCAACAAGAAGTTGTTCATTTGTATACAAACACACATGAAAAGATGTGTTTTACAGATATTTGTGAACACCAGGGCATTCAGTTAGGAAGGATTTTTTTACCAGATTAGTTACAGGAGTCCAGACATTGCTCCACTGGATGTGTAAAATAAATATGTAAATCAAGTTAAATAGCATGTTTTCTCTATCCCTCCACAGCTGAGATGGAATGCGCTCACAAAGTTAACTGAGAATAGTCCTACAGACTAGGAGAAAGCTTGCACAATTGCTTTGCCTTGTTCAGAAGCCTGGTCTCTGTATTTACAAGACCACATTTTTGTAATTAAAAAAAAAAAAAAGAAAAGTTTGGCAAAGACTAGAAACTGTTGTTTTGGAATACAGATTGCACTAAATACTCATAAAATGGACAGCATTGTTTTAAATTTTGAGGAAAACCAGAAAAACTCTACAGGAAAATAAATTCTGAAAACAAGCAAAATACTCATTGCATTGTTGCAGCTATCAGTAAGATCCTGAAAGTGAAACAACAGATTTTTTGTTTTACAGTGATAGAATTAGAAGTGGAAACAAGCAGAAATCATTACAGTTAAAATTATCACAGTTACACTAATTTAAAGTATTGAAATATGTATTTAATGTACATTATGTCACTGTTAAGATTCTCATTCTAATTTCATTAGAAACTCTCAAGAGAGCCTTTTAAGGGTACGTAGATTTCTTTTTACTATACTCCCTGGGAATAAACATTTCAGATTTCCAGCTTAGCCCTTTTAGATAGTTCTTCTGTCAGTTTTATCTGTTTAGAGGTGATGTTAACTGTCTGTACTCAACATGACATAAAATCTGAGATTTGTAGTTACGTCAAGTGTTCGGTATGTTTGTTTCCCGTATTGCTAAGAGAGGAAAAAAGAAAAAAAGACTCAAAATGCCTCCTCACAATAGCCATTTCTTAAATTGTCATTCAAAAAATATTCCTGCTACTTACTAGCAACATTTGTCTAACAAAACTTGTAAGATAACCAGCATGCAAATTCCCAGTGAGTCATTAGAATGATGCAGTTATTTTATCTCAGAATGAAGAGAGCTGTCTTTGACTTGACTGAAGATGCAGCTTAAGTCACGTTATGAATAGCCCTTTGGTTAGAAGTATTGACTGTATTTTCAGCATGACTGCTAATCACTGATGCATTGTGCTGTGACCATATGTCTGATGGCCATCTCAGTTGTTCAGAACACCAGTGCACACTTGACTTAACAGTTTTATGCAAAAGTAGGAATCAGCTTCTGATCCAGGCTGTGTTTCAGCAGTACCCAACCTCCAACCTCTCAATTCTGTTACTGAATCAAAATGCTGCAGACAGGATGAAGCAAACCACATTGACTTGGTATAAAGCCATTCTCTTTGCTCTTTTATTCAAAAAATTTTAATGAGTAACAAAGTGTCATTGTCATCACTCGACATCAGATCAAGTATTTTCCATTCTCCAACAATTGGTGCAAAACCATAAAGTTTGGTATGTTCTCTACATTGGACACACTGGATAGTTTTACAGATGCTTTGTCTGCACTTGATCAAGATGCATTTTGTAGTTCTTTGTAATTCAGTACTGCTCAGATCTGGTACTAATGACTATTGAACCATGAGCTCAAGTTACATTTCAGTGAGGACAAACACATAGAAGTCTTTTTGGAGATCCACTTGTAGGAGATAAAACTCTATGAAATAGGGCTATTAATGTTGGAAGAGGGATTTCAGGCTCATCAAACTTCAGCACTTACAGACAGACCCTTGATCCAGTTGTCAAACTCAGTTTGACTGGTACTGTAGGAACTTGGAAGGTTCATAATATGAAAGAGAAAGACTTGTGAACTGATCCACCACCTATTGAGAAGAATGCCCTTGGATTTTAGCTGTTTTCTGGCACCACAGTGGAAGTCAGTAAGGACTAGATGTTTAAAGAAGTTAGCAAAGGGACACATTGCTGTCATCCCTCTCCCTCTTTTTTATTTGAGTGTTTGCGTGATGTTTCTTTACTATTTTTTTAAGTTTTGGATCTCAATCCATTTTAAATCCATATTCCAGTGAATAAATTACTGGCCTCGGCCACAGAACTGTTGAGCACCTATATCTGTTACTTACATAGGTGTCTGACCAGAGGCTGCTACAAGGCCTGAAAGTACTGGTTTTAATGATGACTGCTGACCTATTGCTAAATGGTAACAATAATTGAAAATACACAGATTATGAAAACACAGCTCTATTTGGAAAAGATTCATTAGATAATCTGTGGTGCTTACTTGCATGTTGCCAAACATTTGTCCTGTCAAATAGGTTGACATAATGATAGATATATGCAAGGACACGATCTCTGATAGGGTTACTCTTAGACTCCAAATGAATGTGTTAAAAAAATGACGCTCCTTTGCTATCATTGTTTGATCAGTATGTTCAAGCTGTGGTAAAAAAAAATGAAGCAAAATCTCATATATTTAGAGGTATCGTACAAAAGAACAAGCTGAGGTGCAAAGATGAAACAGTTTGAGGGCACCAAGAGGTCCTTTCAAGAGGGACAGCTCATATGAAAATGAGTCTTTTGAAAAACTGGGGAAAAGAATGATCAGATTTAAAAGAGTATAAAATTGTTTTATTTTTCTCTCAAATATAAGTGGGAAAAATATTTTTAGATAAGTTACTAAATCTAAAATATGGAGTCAGTTATCAAATATATTGTATTCCAACTGATATTTAAGGGTTGGTGCCTATACAAGAACTTTGCTGCAAATATTACACCTCCAGGGCTTGTGAAGTATTCGTTTTGTTTGCTCATTTGCCATCTATACAGATGTTTTGCGCATTTTCAGAATGTATTCTCATCTTACAGGCTTTCTCATCTTGCAGATGATTAATGCATTTGACACAAATGAGAGAAAAAATTATTTTCCATTGTTATTGAGGATTTTAGTTAGGAATTGCGAATTTTCACTGTTTGTCGATGCCATTATTATGCAGTTCAACAAAATCTCTGCAGCTTCTTGCCTTGCAAGGGAAATGTCAGTCCTGAAATATGGTAACAGAAGTTTACTTTTTCTTCCTAAAAGCTTTAATTCTGTTTCTCACAGAACTTGGAAGTGTTTGGAGTTTTGAAGTGTTAATTATTAACAACAAAAAAGAAATTATTTCCTTGCTTTTTGTGTTTAGAAAAAAAAATTGCAAACTGGTGTTGTTAACTGTGTTTTCAATGCAGTTGATAAAACAGAAGGGAAATGTAATTCTTGAAGAAAAGAGTCATGAATCTCCTTACCTGTTCGTTTCTATTTTCAGTTATGTTGTGATTTTTGTGTACTTTTACCTGTGTAAAATAGTGCTCAGTCTAATCCCAATGAAAGAAATCAAATTAAAGCACCAATGTCATGTAGGTTTATGGGGAGTTAGGTACAGTTCTTAGAGTTAGTTTGTCTTACATTTACATATTTTGTGATTTTCCTACAGACAGTGTGCATGGAGCTATTTTGAGCATATAATGTGCTAATTCTTCTCCTCATGATTAAAGTCATAAAACTGCACTGACCCAGAGAGAGGCATTGTGAATGTATAATTTCATTTTACATGTGTTCATAAAGCCAAACAATATTGTGCTCTTCTAAAATGGAGATGTGTTAGTAACACGGGTTCATTGTTTGCATCTGTATGCAACATATCTCATAGCACTGCTGTGGTTTAAAATTGGTTCATGGTGGTCGAATTCTCTAATGAGATGTGAAGAGTGTGGCTTCATACTTAGGGCACTTTGAGCTGTTTCTTCACTGACAAGATACATACAAGGTAATTACGTTTTCAAGAAGTCAGAGTTCTATTTTCTTTTACAGAGTTCTATTTTCTAATCATTTAATTGATTGCTTATAGAAAGAGCCAACAGCTCTTCTGGCTAGTTAAGTCTGACTTAGGGTTTTAGTTACAGTCCTTTTCCCATGCATTTGGTCCTCTTCATAGCTAAATTACTGCCTCTCCAATTCTTCCCTCTAAAGATTTTTCAGTTCAGTGGAGAGCATGCTGTTTGGAGGGGCCATTTGTTTGCTTTCCTGTTTTCAGAAAGCATTAGAAGTAGAATGTACTTTTTCCCAACATACACATCTAGTCATAACGTGCTAACTCAATACTGGGCATTTTCTGATATTTTATATCTAGAAAGTACTAGTGCTTGCTCAGAGTCCAGATACTTTCAAGTCTAAAGGCTGCCTGAATAATCCATCTCTTCGCTCTGCCTGCTTTGCCATTATTTTAACCTTTGTTGTAACCCACTGCCAGCACTGTGAGCTTTGAAGGTGATTTTGTTAACCCTAGTGACCTTAGGCTCATACCCAGTCATTATTGTGATTTGATGTATTGCAGGTTCAATTTTGCTAGGATCAATCTATGAGAAAGTAGTATTTTGGCCATTACATTTGTGTTAATCTAAATTGCTTTAGATTGAGCAAAGACTTGGTTACT